ACGGTTCAGCATCCACGGGCGCAGAGGACCGTGGCGGCGCACGCTGCGGATGGCGGGCCCAGGCCGGGTTGACGTGTCAGCATCCTCTTCCCGCACGCAGAGCGAGCCAACCGAGTCCGTGCGCCGCGCTCTGCACACTGATCCACGCGCGCCGCAGGCCCCGGGAGGCGGGCGGCCCCTCCCCGCCTTGTCGCCGCCTCCTAGGCGCGGGGTGGAGTGGCCCCCTCGCTGTCCCCAGTGTCCCCTACGTCCCAACGCCCGGCGACAGCTGCGTGGAAACACCGGGTGGGTGGCAGAAAGGAAGGAATAAGGCGAATCCACACCTTGCCTCGGGCAGGCCGTGTTACGGAGGATCAAAGCCCGGGATGTGCACTCCCTGCAGGTGAGGCGTGCTCGGGGCACCCCCTTCTTCAGCCCTGGCTTCCTTCCGGGGCCATGAGAGGCCTGGGCTGAGGTTTGGGGGGCCGCTCCCCGGGTAGGCGCGCCCCCGTCTCAGTGTCCCCGCCCACACTGGCAGCCCAGACATCTAAGCGTGGGGCTTGATCTCTCAGAGAGGGGATATGCAGCCTAACCTGGGGACAAAAGCGGGCTGGAGTAGCTCGGTTGGTACCTGGCACGTGGAGCTGGAAGAGGCCTTGCTTCAGGAGATCTCCAGTGCACATCCTACCAATTGAGATGTTTGGATTCTTCCTTAAAGACGCAAATGCTCCTTTTGAATCTATCAGACTTCTAAATCGTAGTATTTTTCTTGTATTTGACAGAACACCTTGTTTTGGTGAAACAAAAAAAAGAGAGAGAGAGAGAGAGAGAGAGAGAGAGAGAGAGAGAGAGAGAAAGTCGTTGTTTTGGAAGAAAATGTGCTGAGGGGACTATAATTCTGAGGACAGCTCTCAGCATTAAGGGATCCTGAGGAAGAAAAAGGGTGCTGGCTAAGGGTGCCTTGTCATGCATGGGTTGGCCTGTTTACAATGTCAGGCATTCAACCCCAACATCCAGGGAATAGGTCCATGATCTGCCATTGTTGTATGGTTGTCCCTCATGTTGCCTGAAGAGGCCCCACCTGGCCTCAGCTCCCATTCCCCAAGGCTTCCATTAGAAAGGTGCTGTGCAATAACTTCGGATATACGAGGGTGGTCTGAATAAACCATCACCCCCATTGTTTTGTTTGATGTTGAGAAATTTGTTTAACTTGTTTCTTGATAGTAAATGACATGGTTTTCACCCTTAACAAAAGAATATGTTGGGGACGAGGAGAAGAGGAAAGGGAGGAAGGCAGGAAAAGAGGAAGAAAGAACAAAAAGGAAGCTGGGCTATGAGTCAGTTGATAGAGTGTCTGGCTAGCACGAAGAGGCCTGGGAGTCAGCCCACATATTGAAGCCCCAACACTGCAGACCAGAAGTAATAAATGCCTGGAGTCCCAGCACAATCAGAAATTCAAGGTCACCTTTAGCTGCACATCAAGTCTGAAGCCAGGCTGTGTAAGACCTTCCTTGTCTCCTAAAAGGAGAACATAGATGGAATGTGCCTGAACTGCTGGGGACACAGCTGAGTGGTAGACGGCATGCCTCGTATGCCCTCCAACAAGATCCTGGGTCCAGTTCTATTAAACACAGTAGTTAAGAGCATTTGTTCTTCTTGCAGAGGATCCAGGCTTGGTTTCTAGCACCCACATTGAGTAGTTGGCAACAATCTGTAATTTCCATTCGAGGGGATCTGGTGCCCTCTCCTGGCCTCTAAGGGCACCAGGCACTCAAGAAGTATGCAAACACACAAGTGGGCAAAAGACTCATACACATAAAATAAAAATAAAGGCTAAGGGTTGGAGAGGCATCTTAGTGGTTAAGTGCACTTGCTGTTCTTGCAGAGAACTGGGATTCAGTCCCCAGCATCCATGTGATGTCCCACAACCTTCAGTAACTCCAGTTCCATGAAATCTGGTGCCCTCTTCTGGCCTCTATGGACACCAGGCACATACACAGAGCACATAGATACATTCAGGAGAAAAAAAAATCATGTATATAAAATTTTTTAAATAAAATAATTTTAATTTTAAAAGCCCATAAATGCATTGGTTTTCTTTTGTTTTGTTTGAATTTTTCTGTGTAGCCCTGGCTGTCCCAAAACTCAATTTGTAGATCAGGATGGCCTTGAACTAAGAGATCAGTCTGCCTCTGCCTCCCCAGTGTTGGGATTAAAGGCATGCACCACTACATGGTTTATCATGGGTTTATTATGACACAAAGACACTCAATTATAGCTCTTTTAATCCCCCCCCCAATCCTTAGGGTCTTCAGTGCTCCCTCTTGTGGCAAGGTCATGATATATACCTGGGATCCACTACCACCAATGTCCCAGACTCCCATCCCCTCTATACCCTGTTTCATTTAAAGATTTTTTTTTATTGTCTTTGTATGAGTGTTCTGCCTCTGTATATGTATGTTCACTGTCTGCATGCCCAGTACTCAAAGAAACCAGAAGAAGGCATTGGATCTCCTGGGACTGGAGTTAGGGACAGATATGAGCCACCATGGGGGTGTTGGGAACCAAACCTGGGTCCTCTGCAAGAACAGCTGATGGTCTTAACCACTGAGCCATCTCTCCTGCCCCTTCACCCTGTCTTGAGAAGAGAGAAAGCTCTTCAGAGACACTCCTGACCTAAGCTTAGCTGCCCACTCAGTGTTCTTCCATAATCCTCCCTGCTGTAGCAGCCTGTTTACTGGATGTCCTAAGAACCAGCAGGACATGAGGAAGACCAGAAGATCTGGCCTCATCCTCTGACTACTGCCGGCTCCGCTGGGCACCACACCTACCAACAAGGCAGACAAACTCAGGTAGACACAGTTCACAGCTGCCGATGACTTTACAATTGGACAGGACCTTGTCAGGTTGGGAAGGGAGGGTCTGGCTGGGCCTGACAGTGACACATGGGCGGTGTCTGAAGCCACCTGGCCACAGCTAAATGTATGGAGTGAATATTTCAACTCAGAGGAGCTGCTCACATCTCAACCCATCCATGAAGGAACTCACCTGTGTGGTTCACAGTGCTTCCCAGGGTCTCAGGTACTAGCATGATACATACTCTAGCAGAATGAATGGATGAGTCCTTAAAAGAGATTTGCATTTTGGGGGTTTTGTATTGTTTAGTTTTGGGTTTTTTTCTTCTTTTTTTAAGTTTTTTGAGACAGGGTTTCTCTGTGTAACAGTTCTGGCTGTCCTGGAACTCACTCTGTAAACCAGGCTGGCCTCAAACTCACAGAGACCCACCTGCCTCTGCCTCCCCAGTGCTGGGATTGAAGACGTGCGCCACCACTGCCCCGCTGAGATGGTACTTCACAAGGATGCTAGCTGTCCCTGAGACAATCACATGGCCTTCTTCCCTAGTCCTGCAAACATCCAGATCAAAAGGACATTTAAAACTAACCCCTCTCGGGGCTGGGAATGTAGTTCCGTGGGCAGAGTGCTTGCTTAGCGTGCATGAAGTGCTAGGTCCAAATCCCAGCATTGCATGAACCAGATGGGGTGGCACACGCCTGTAAAGTCAGCATTCCAGAGGCAGAGGATCAGAGGCTCAAAGTTGTCCTCAGTTACAAACCATGGACAACATGAGATGCTGCCTCAATAAAACAACTGCCCTTGAGAGCTGGGGACAGCCCTGTGGGAGGGCACTCACCTAATGTGTGGCACGGAGTAGGTGCTGAGTTCTATCCCCACCACCCACAGTCAAGTGGAAAGGGTGGGCTTGTGGGTGGTGGTGTTCACCAGTCCATTGTGCCTGATCAAGACCTGGACAACATGCTTCAATTCCATCATCAAAAGCTGTAAATATGATTTTAAAATGCCTAGGCGACTTGTACCTCATATATATCCTTGATGAAAACCAGAACTGTGGGTGTGGGCTGAACCCAGGAGGGAGTCCCAAATCCCACACCATCACAGTCTAGGCCCTATGGGGTAGACTTAGCTGAAGGTCTATGGGGCAGTCATTGCTGAAGGTCTAAAGGGTAGGCTTTATTAAGGTCTCTAGGGTAGTCTTTGTTAAGGTCTATGGGGTAGTCATTGCTGAAGGTCTATGGCATAGTCTTTGTTAAGGTCTATGGGGTAGTCATTGCTGAAGGTCTAAAGGGTTGGCTTTGTTAAGGTCTCTAGGGTAGCCTTTGTTAAGGTCTATGGGGTAGTCATTGCTAAAGGTCTAAAGGGTAGGCTTTGTTAAGGTCTCTAGGGTAGTCTTTGTTAAGGTCTATGGGGTAGTCATTGCTGAAGGTCTATGGCATAGTCATTGTTGAAGGTCTATGGGGTAGTCTTTGCTGAAGGTTTCCCATTTTGTTTGTCTGGTTCAGGACTGGGATGATTGCTGAGAATTAATTGTTATTAGATAAACAAGAGTGGTTTGCCCCGCCCCCCCAGGGGATATAGCGGCTCCTGAATTCAGCAAACAATAGGCTAGAGCAGAACCCTGGTGTCCCATGGGCAGGAGGTAGAGGGAGGAGAGAAGATCATGAGTCCCCCCCTGGGATCCGGCACCAGGAGGGCCCTGAAAGCAGAG